AAGAGCTCTAAACCAACAGGCTGTAGGTATACATGCATCTTATGATTCGTATACATTCCCACTCATATTACGGAGTATTAGATTAAAAATATAAATATGCCTGCTTCCAGTTTAGATCCGTAATTACTAAATTAACAGATCTATAAATTTACGTTGTGCTTGTTTGTAAAACCTTGAAAATATAGACGACTGATAGGCATTCGTCTAAGAATTCAGATATTATTAAATTGAACATTCACTGATAACCAACTTTTAATGTGGTTACGGAGCTTGCCATACCTCGTTTTCATCGCACAGTAACAATTGGAAATAAAAACCTATACCAAGCCGCCTATTCTTAATCTTAAATAGCTATATGTATAGAAATATCTTCTTCTTATTCTGTTATCCTCTATCCCTCTTAGCTTGTTCCTAATTGCGAGGTTTTTAATTTATTAATTTAATAAATATCACATACTACTTACATATATGTATATATTAATATAAAATAAATAATAAAATATTAAGTAAAAACCACTTAATATTTTATTATTTATTTTATATTAATATATACCATATATGTAAGTAGTATATGATATTTATTAAATTAATATTACTCTTCTTTTATTATTACTTCTCTATTCCATTAAAGCATCAACTACCACTTTCTGTGTTTTCCTCAAAAGTTGTCTGGAAGATTAGGTATGCTTATACGAAAAGACAGCTGTTTCTTATTACTCTAATTACTATGCTTTGTAATTTACTTCTGGTACAATAAAGAGTTAAGAAATAAATAAATAAAGCAGTTTTTCCTACAGTGGTATTAATTGATTATTAAGGAGGCCCATCGACTTTTCGGTCGTGTGAAGAAAACATGACCCAATGTTTTCTTCATATTTCCCGATGGAATTAGATTGATACTTTACCAGAATAAAAAGTAGCGTGTCTTTCTAAGGTCCTCAAACTTAACGAAGTGTAACGACAAATCCAAAGTTCGGGAGAATAAAGGTCAAATACATTTCTACATTTACGTATCTGACGTAATTCACCAACGGGTAAATACACAGTCTTACTTTCCAATGGGAGGGAGTTTGAATCCTTTACAATAAAGACATTTATATTCATGAGTTTTGTATTGGTCTGGTAATGTTGCGGTGTATTTAAAAAAAAATATTTATGTATATCCATCACATGTCTAGTTCCTGTAATATAAACTCTAATTGACAAAACATTATGGTTTTTGATAAAATTGAAATATCAAACAAACTGTCTTAGCACCACAGACGTCACGTAATCATGTGACACTTACGTTATCTGTCCTACATCACCTTTCCGGAAGATACACATATTACAAAGCAAGCTGTTTCGCGGCTAAATACCCTCGCGTACAACTTTATAATCTTTATATGTATATTATTACATCTTATATACATATACTATAGATAAAACAATTATTATGTGTTAAATAAATAAATATACTCTGAAGAATATATAGAATATATACATACATGCCTAATCATTTTTATTCTCCAATATTGGTTGTATCCCATACGCGACACAACTTTGACTCCACAGTTTCTCTGGCACATATAATATATTTGGTTTTGCTAATTTCAGTATTAATTATACAAAAATATTAAATTATTCCATAATACAATCCACAGAACGATAAGGACGTTATTAACCCGTAACATGTACCTACGATTGTACAAACATATATTCAATTGAAGAAAAGTACTAAAGTTTTAATTAACTTTCAAAATTCAATTAAAACTAGCAGGAAACGCATCTTTGAGATAAGACATGACTGTGTAAACCCAAATAGGAGGAGCATAAACGCAAACCGCAGCTTCCTGCTGTGCTTATGTGCAACTGCATTTGTTTTAATTATTTCAGTTTTTCTAGCTTCTTAGAAAATCTAAAAAAAAATTTCTTTGTGGATATCAAATGAGGACATTATTATGCCCGATTTTGAGATTTAAAAGTAAAGCATATAATATATAGTAATATAGTATTGAAAATAAAATAATATTAAGGTCGTTTTAAAATATTTTTTTTTCGTTACACCGCGCCATGTGTACTCGTATATATAAAAGACAAAACACTTATCCTTTCAGATAGTGAAGGGATAACTGTTTAGTCTTGTATTAGCTAAATAAGGTCATACATACGTAGGGGGAAAAGCGGTTGTTAATAATGTGGACCCTATAGCTAGCAACGTACTAGCTATAGGGTCGCCCTCCACGTGGTTTCCCCTAGAAACCTTTGCGTTATATTTATGGTGAATTTACCACGATGGGCTAACTGATCTGACCTTATGGTCATCTTATCATATTTCACTGATGCCCCGTCTGCGTAAACTTATTCTCGCTCGGAATTCTCGGATCGCTAATGCGATAATACGAGTATACCATTCCATTATCATTATTAAGCAAAATAAAAGTATGATCATACATACGCTCTTGCGCCGTGAATTCCTAAGGAATTCGCTACGTTTGGCTAACCGACCTAACTTAATAGCGATCCTATTACTATTGCCCTACTAGTGTATACCGTTCAAGCAGCTGGGTGCATATTGTACGTGGGTATTTCATTATTATCCATACAAGTACGTACCTAATTACATATGTCATGAACATAACCAATTGAAGCAATGTATTTTAGATGTCATAAGCACCTACTTACTCGATTCCTTTATACACACTACTACATAAGTCTATATTGTAATATCTATATTTACATTATAGATATTACAATATATCTGTTCTCTATTACTAATTATAATCATCTTCACGACTGCAATCTAGATGGGGTAGTCAAAGTGCTTATCTGTCATTGAAGTCGTGGTAATAACACTTGATGCGGCTATAATATTCTAAGGATTTTTAATTAAATGTGGCAAGGGACGAACCCACCGTCTTTCGGAGTGAATTTCGTTTGTTAGGTTATTGGTGATAATTAAGAAATATTTCAATATATAATAAAAATATCTCTGGAGAATTCATACAGCGCTATATAGTTCCAAGCTAAGCAAATCTTGTATTATGGGTACCTACTAGACAATTTATATAAATATATAGATACATTTGCAGGAAAGGGGATTGTTAGTAATGTGGACTGTTGACCCAACTGCTAGCGATGTACTGTCAGGATAACCTTCACACGGATCACCTTGGAAACCATCATTATAAATTCGTAATAAATTTGTCACGTAGGGATGACTGAGCTGGCCTCATGTGCATCTTATCTTCCCCCACAAGTGTTCCCGCGTAAACCATTAGCACAGACGGGTGTACTATACCAGTACTATAAACACGAAAATGTGTCTGTATATGTATTACCTTTTCAAGACCAAATGGCTAAAAGTTTTATGTATAGCTATACTTTTATCTTCGAAAAATCTAGAAGGTAGTGAAATAACGGTTGTATAGACAAAATTGCGGCTAACGACTAGTATAAAACAAAAGTGACATTGCTAAAAAATTCTTTATTTTAATTAATAGAAACCAATTCGAAGTAATTAAAAAAGTTACGAAATCTCTGATTATTTAATTGACCCCTGTTTCGGTGACTTACGAAAAGAAGTATAAAAAAGCGTAAAGATATATATATTAGGGTTTATTTTTACATAGTAAATGTAAATATTGATATTTATTACAATTTTATATAAAATAATTACAACTATTCCTAACGTTTCTACGGAATTGATGTTATTGTGAGTCTATTTCCGAAAACAAAATACTATCATCATATAGCCTATCATATATTCTAAAGGAGTTATAAAATATAACTCCTTTAGAATTGGCGAAACTACCAATAATATGTCTATTTTGATGTTTCTTTTTGCATTTAATACATTTTACTTTTATCCTAGGCTTGTAGATTTGTGGGCAGTCTAAGCAAAATCATTAATTGCTATACATTTTCGAATACTCTCATAAACGTTCCAGAATCTAGGGCAGTCTAAGCAAAATCATTTATTGCTATACAATGTCGAATACTCTCATAAACGTTCCAGAATCTAGGGCAGTCTAAGCAAAATCATTTATTGCTATACAATGTCGAATACTCTCATAAACGTTCCAGAATCTAGGGCAGTCTAAGCAAAATCATTTATTGCTATACAATGTCGAATACTCTCATAAACGTTCCAGAATCTTTATGTAATTTAATTAAAAAAATATTATATTTATATTATATCGTGAAATTAATTTGTATTTTTTGCAGCATTATCAATGTGAATTCTCAAATGCTTTCTTGTGTGATACTTTTACTACTCTTACAAAAAACTCCATAACCAAGTGATTATGAAATAAACTTTTATTACTCACTTTATGAAATATATGTAACATATATGAAAGCATATACGTAAGTAAAGTCCCATACATTTGACTGTTCTGACATAACATTACATAGTAAAGTTTCAAGTTTATGTGATAACTACGACGACCCTATCGTTAAACTACGTTTCTCACGTAGATAGAGAATGTATGTAGGTGTAGGTATTACTATTCCACATCAAAATTATTTATTTTGTAGTTTTAGAATCGGAGAAAAAATTTCTACATTGTTGTTATAGTTGTTTTCTCTATTTGTACTGTTTGAATTATTATAAGAAACGCAGTTATATAAATTAGTAGCAACACATGAGATGGAGATACCACTTTCCATCATGTAGGTTCAGCAGGTTTCCTATACTAGTTATAAAAAACTATGGGAAACCACATAATATAGTTTCGTCAACAGCAGTATATTTTTAATTTGCTTCAAATAAAAAAATAATATTTAAACAAAAGGATATAGGATTAGCCTTTCCAAAAATAAGGTTAGTGGTATACAGTCGGTTAGTCATCAGGTTGACCAAATGCGACGTGAAATTGCTGCGTTTGGATGCTACGCCGCTCATCTACATACATATTAGGCAAGGCGTTGAATACAAAATAGCATTCGAATGCGCTTATCACCTGCAACCTGACGACTAACCGACTGTATGTTACCGGCTATAATTGATCAGTGTTTACCTGTTTAGTTATAACGATGACAAACAATATGTAGGCGTTGAGGAGTAATCCAATGGCGGAGATGACGGTGACGGCCACGCTCAACGCGAGCGCCACCGCCTGCTCTTCGCCCCGCGCTTCCGTCCCGTTCATCTCCATACGATATCTGTATATCTGTCTCGGTCACAGTTCACGGAGTTAGCCGCCCCATGGTATCGCGTCGAAAGTGTGGTCCGCCATCTTGGACCGTTTCGTCACCTCACCGCTGACGCTGCGCTCCATCTCATCTCTGGTTGCGATCTGCAATACAATATTCAATTATGAATAAATTGCAAAAAAGTGAAGTTATGCCTTCGATAAATATTTTTATGATCAATAATAATGTTCAGTGCATATAGGATTTCATACAGATTTAATCAAAATTAATATAGTTTTTGGGGGTTCAGAATCTTAAATTATAAGCCTAGTTTTCATACATATTAGGTAGGTATATGTTCAGGAAAATAGTTATCCGTAAAACCTAGTCAGATGTCTGATGATGATGTAAAACTCATATAGCGACACTGTTCAGTGAAGTCTTTGTTGGTCGTAATCTTAATTTTGTGTCTATTTGTGATTTTATTGCTTAATTATGATTCTAAAATAGGATAATATTTTATCCATAGTCAACAATATCTTGACTTTCATGATGTATATAGAATAATAGCAAAAGAGTTAGAACAAAAGCATTTTAATACTAAACGCAAATGGATTTCCATTGCAGTCCATATCACGAATTGTCCTCGTCGAATCGATTTAATAACTGTCACCTTCATTGGTTATGACTAGACAAAGTATAGCAACACAAAATACAATTTAGTTCGTAGCCATTATTAATCATATATTTATAAAACAATTGTGTAAGACATGATATGAATTGTGTAAGTTGTATAAAATAATATATGTACTGACTCCATCACTTAGTGCAAGTGATCACCATACCATCATCGTTCACAAAAAATACCAAATATTATCTTATAACCAGTGGATTATTAAACAACTCCGAAATGTTCCTGAATCTACTTTATTCACACAAATCAAGGGTCTACTAAGGTTTACTTAGGGTCGGCTACGCCATCATGTGACACCCCTGGTGTTCCAGGCATCTATAGGCGTTGCTAACTGCATCAGATGGGCCGTATGCATGTTTGCCACCAAAGTGGTATAAAAAAAAACACGCAATAATTAAAATATTAGGTAGGATTAAAAACCCCTATCCCTGAAGACAGTTAGGTATATATCTTAATAATTGCTTAACATAAGTATTAGGATCGTCGGAATATCCTACTACGTTTAGCAACTGGGAAACAATCTGTTCTTTACTCACAAGACCACAAAATCTATAAATCCATACTAATACTATGAATGCGAAAGGATATAAAATAACAAACAGATATGTATAGGTATATCTGTTCGTTGTTACATTTTTCATGACTCAATAATTCTTAATGAAATTCAGCATAAAGATAAACTGTATTATTAGAACTGAGATAAGGTACTTTCATTTTAAAAAATGATCTGGAAAGGTGTAAATTAAGGGTTATTAAACGTTGATAGTTTGTGCAGACCAAATGATTGTATGTCCATCTATCTTTTCACGATCTTGATGTAATGTTACGTGAAAGTACATTGTATCGTGATATGGAAATTGCAGACGAAGTTGCAGGTAACAGCTAGTGTGACAGTCGGCGTTTTATTACAACAAAGAATTCGATAAACCACATATTAGGAATCGGCCTCGTTTCCAATATTGCATGTGCCGTACGTATTTACAAGCCGGCACGATGCAATACTATCAATAATATGTCAACCCACATAACTGCTGAGAAGCATGTCAAATTACATGTGTGTATTAAGTTATGTGTAAAAATAACTAAAATAATAAAACCTAAAAAGAAACTATTAACTGTCATTATTATTTATTAATTAAGTAAATATCTTGAAACAAATAACAAGGGAACTTAGCCGTATGACAGAAGACAGTTCGTTCCCAATACATGAACTTTTATTATAGATTGAAAAAAAAGGATAAAAAATTCTTTAACCTGTAGAAAGCAACATTATCTACCATTACATTTATATTTTAATATATGATATTATCAAAAAATGAGCCAGCGCGGATCGCTAGTTATGAATATATAGAGTAGAATTTTTAGCATACAATAATGCTACATGCAAAACAAATATGGTATGCTTTCTTTTTCCTTTTTATCCGGGCACGTTTGTCCATTATCTCGCCTAATGTACCTACATGGAATATGTCAAGAATATTTTAATAGGCAAAACATGTCAATAATTCACTCTTACCTTCATGTTCCCATATCTTACGAAACGGAAAACAGACGCCGGAAGAGAATTTCAGTCACTGGTTATTCACGAAAGGGTTACTCGACTCGATGTATAAAAATAAAACATTTAATGATTCTCAATACAGCAGCTAGGTATATACAAAATATTGGGTATGTTAACTTTTTTTTTCAGTGTATAATATTCACTTTGATGTGATTTTAGGGATACAGCATTATGCACTTTTATTTTTGTATGTGTGCATTAAAACGCCAATAATAAATAAATAAATGAACATCGTTTAAGCAATCATATTCTATTTTTTATTATAATATATTTTTTTATTTCAGACATTTAAATAATATCTAAATATTTTGAAACTTTTACTAACGAGTCAATTAATTGAAATTCCTGTTAACCAGTATAAGTATTTAAGTTGCTTTGACTCAATTTAGGAATAATTGACTCGAATCTGTGCATTTTGGTTTACTGGCTGGCATGCTTTGTTCAGATGCTTATAGCAAAGGCAAAGCATTCCTAATTTGTAAACAAGAAGCTCCGGTTTATTGCACAATTTTGCGGTATAATATACAAAACTTAATCTAGAAGATAACAAATAATTGATTTACCGGTTCGGTGATCTTACGGAGTTAGCACATTGATTAACTTCCGAGAGTCGCCAGTTCGAGTTTGCACCATACATTGGTATAAATGGGTATGATTATATTTATTTGGAAATATTTTATTTATATAGAACATTTATAAAAAAATATTTAAATATAGAGTTAGGTATTTGTTAGACGTTGCTGTATTAATTGTCTTCAGTTAGTATTACAATGCTGTTTATTTATTTACTGTATTTCTGTTTGAAGCAGTGAAATTACGAGATATGGAGATATAACACCTTTACAACTAACCTATTATTATTATTTAAGTATTAAAACTAATTATTGGAAATAATAATCATATGTCAGGACATAGCGCACTCTAGTCCCAAATTAAGCAGAGCTTGTGTTATGATTAGGTACTAGCAACTGATATGAATACATGGATGCATTTTTTTTCTAAGTAATATACATTGAATACTATTTTCAATGTATAGTTCATAATATACATTGAAAACACCACAATTACAACAAATTACAAACTGTCGTATTCATGAACACAAATGTTTATACCGTGCGGGGAATCGAACCCGCGACCATCGGAATTAAGGCGATGTACTAATTCACTAGACCGAGGCCGTCATATATATCAGAAATTATAATATCATGTCTTTTACAATGTTAGAAAATTCACGAAGAAAATATTTCTTAAATTTCGACAAACAATAAGGGGATCGGGCGCACGAAGGCCGCGGTAAACAGAGTATGATATAAAGTTAGCACCATTATATGATCAATTCACCATCATTGTATCGAAGTCTGTTATTTACGTTACAGTCGATAACAGCTGAAGGCCAAGGGGAAGGTAAGTTGAATCAATTACCTTAAAATAGGCGATCGAAGCTACAATAAGGAGTACTGAACGAACGGAAATTGGCCGTCGCCTCCTTTATTATTTAGGTGTAACAATGTTTTTGTATTTCTTTGAAGGATAAGTTAAGTGGTAGTAGCAGCATACAGTATTACATAATAAATTAATTAAGAACAGCGTTATTAAACGCTATATATAGATACTTCGTTATTGTTTTGTTTGGTTTGTTAAATTTTGTTTAATCTGGACTTGAACGTTATCTTCTCTTTCTGACTAAAATTAATGGTTTTGAAAATGTAAATTGTGCACACATCGTTATGTGATAATATAATTTCCAAAAAATGTTTGTGTAGGTATTTGTAGAATACAACAAAAAAAGTTATTACCGTTTAATTTTATAGATTATTTATTCGGTTTAGAATAAAAAACTAAATTAAACTAAAACTATAAAATTTTTGCATATTCACATTGTTATATTCTGTAAAATATGATTTAGGTTTATTAGGACAATTCTATTTCTGTTGGCTGTAGTGGCTCTTCACAGGTTCACATACAAAGCCCTTGAAACGTGTTCTTATTTGTCATATGTAGATCTTGTATTTCTGCATCTAAACAACTAACTGTAATTACTACATATAATTATGATAGGAGATATTGCACTTTATAATGCCTATATTGTGTCAATTAATAAGACGGTACATTAAATAAATTAACATTCGTTTGAGGCGCAGATCGCTACCTAATTTGAATTTGAACGTATGAGTATTTTCTATTATAATAATGGTATGATGCACCTGCTTGCGCTAACGATTTATGCTGAATGGGGATTAGTGGAGCATGATAAAATGAGCATGAAGTCAGTCTGTTAGCCCGTTTTGGCAAATAACAATTTATTACAATGGTTTCCAGGGTGAACTGTTGAACAGGTCAACCTGACATGGTATATTGATAGTAATGAGATTAACGCATGAGTACCTATTACCACAGGCACACATTGTAGATATAATTAGCACATATATATTTACAAGTATGTACCATGATAACTTGATACCCGTAATGTACTTGTATACAGGTACACCATGTAGCAAGCCCACCTGATGGCATGTTGCCATTAGGTGGGCTTGCTGTTATATAAAAAAAGTATATAGGTTTTATTAAATCTTAATGTTTGACTATCATAACTATAAACATTAGGGAAGGGAATTATTAGACGTTAATTCCTTGAATTGAGAATTTGTTATGGAGAGCTAATAAACCTGACCTGATGCTCATCCAATAATTCTTTATTATGTTTGTAACAAAACTGCTCCGAAATGGATTCACAGATTCTTATGAAACTTTGTGTGTACATATATTTATCAAATCTGAGAATAGGATGCAAACTATTTTTCATTCCCCTAAGTTTCAAAGGTGGTTAGCCTGAAATGTATTTATTATTTTTTGTAGAAAGATAATTATTTTAATTTTTTAATGTAAAATACATTAAAGAATACAAAGAA